TATATATATATATATATATATATATATATATATATATATATATATATATATATATATATATATATGCAATAGTTATAAAGTAATATATGCCAAAATATAATAAGCAAAAAGATTCTGTATCAAGTCACACGTGCCATCACTCACGTGATTGGCTTGTTGGGCACCTATGACTAGTAGTTTTGTGGTGGTGCAACGCGGGTGTTGCTTCCTCTCACATTTAGTGCTCTTGTGAGCATGACCAACTTTGAAGTGAGTTCCGCCACAACATCCTGTAAGTGTTGCACGGAGTCTTTGGTGTCATCAGACAGTCGGTCGACTAGGGCCTCAACCTTGTCGATCTTGGACTTCGCTTCTTCTTGTGAGCTCTCTACTCCAATAAGCCTTTATTGGCCATGGTAGAGCTCGCTTCAAGAACATCCAAGCAGGTTTCCGCAGTTGTGAGTCTCTCCTTGTGACTCTTTTTCCCAGTTGGCGCTCCAGATTATGCCTCCTCTGCTTGCGGAGAGTAGCCAACTTCTCGCTCATCATGTTCACTGCCGCACTCCTCTTGAGTGGCTCTAACAGCATGAGAGCAAGTATGCACATGCAGCCCACCTACGACTACTTGGGGCAAGGGTCCGGCTTGCCCCGTCTTGCTTGATTCGCCACAATGCTTTGCCATGGCGAAGTTGTGAAGTTCCTTCGCTACTCACTCGAAGTGCTTGCCCGCTCTGATACCATAATGTCACGGCCTTAGCTAGAATTGCCTAAGGCGTGAGGCACCCTTGCGGTCAAAATGCGAACTTAGCTTGCCTTGCCTAAGTCGAGAGGCACCCTTACGATAAAGACGCGAACTTAGCTTGTGTTGCCTAAGTCGCACTTCGCCCTTGCGATATTGCTCCATAAAGATCAGCCCACTTGTAACTTTTTGTAGTTCCCGAAGGACTTGTAAAAAGAGAAAGTTGATTAGTTTGAAAGAACAAGCGACGGACAAGTCCCGATGTCTCGCGAAAAGAGGGGAAGCTTTACAAGTAATTCAGCGAGCACCTTGCGTGCACAAGAGAAAAGAGGGAGAGGGGGAAAACAAGGACTTTAGAGAGTTGAACGAATAGCTGCAAGTCCACAAACAGCTGCTCACCGGGTGCGACAACAAGTTCCCGTCAAGGTAACGTGCGAACTTGCGAAAGGTTGTTCAACGCCCGACACTATACCGAAGCCGCATCCAGCCCTATGCCACCCGGGGGGTTCAAAGGGGCTAAGATGGCTGACATTTTGGTGACCAGAGACGGACTATAGAAAACAGCCCATGGCACACGAAAACGGAGCTGTTTTGGGCTGTTTTGCTCGGTTCGGTGAGCGGTCGCTTGGTAACGTTGCAACTTATTCGAACTTACATTTTTACAAGCAAATGACTCAAAACTAAGGCAAAACATGCTGCCAAGAAACTGTACATGTGGATGTGAGCAATGAACGGTTCGTTGAACGGAGTTATTGCGGGTGCGCGACGACCGTCCGTAACACCTTGTAGGTTAAGTTAGTAGTTTTTTTTTTCTCTCTTTTTTATTTTTTCCTGGCTAGATGTCGGTCAGGAGCTTTTATACCGTTGCGCGGGGATTGGTCATATGCGGATTTGACACGACGATCTATCCTCGAGTGGCGAGATGGTACCGTCGTTCGGCCGTCGCCCGGTATGCAAGGAACGGCGCTATGTGGTGCCGTCCCGAGCTTTCCGGAGTGGGACTCGCCGAGGGGGCACCTCTCTGTACGTGTCTCAACTCGACATGGGGATGCGCCCCATGCTGACTTGGCAAGGGCATGATGTGATGTGGATCGTGACATAGTTGGAATCCAAAATATGCGTGGCATATCAGTTCACGGTACTTATGTAACCGGTCATGAATCTGCTTTCTTTGAGAACTGACTGCCGCTGTTGATGCATACATCTTTTGTAAATTGATGGTTGCGATGGTACCGAAAGCATGATCGTAAAGTATTATGTCAATCCACAATACTCTGTTGCTTCTGCTGAACCAATAATTTGAAAGTCACCAACCTGGTTCTCTTGATTTTTTTGTGATGATTTCCATCACACGTGTAGCTTATTCTGATACACACTTCTAAAGCATTACATAGCTTGAAAGAAACCTCTTCCTCTACCCTCACCAATCAGATTGCTGTAAGTGAACATGAGAATTGCCACCTTTCTTCACCGGCAGAGCCTCGGTTTGACGTTTTCCTCATCAGTGAGTTATTGTGGTTCTGATGAGAATGGGTTGTTGGATATGTACACGATAGCTTGAGCGGACCAAAAAGTGGCAATTCCACCAACGCAGTGGTCAACCACTAAAGTATGTTATTTATGGACCATTCAACTAATGCTTCGATCCTCTCATGTGTGTTTAGGTCATGTAGTTACCGTGGAGTCGCCATCCATCCGATAGAACAGGAAAGCTATGAACTCACTGGATCAACATAATGCAGAGGTAAGATTGTTTGATATAGTGACCGATTTCTTCTTCTTGTGATTCCACGCCACTTCTTCTCCTTCCCTTGCTGACATCTAGAACTCGAGGGAACAAAAACCCTAACTGATATAGCGCGCTACAGCCACTGGTGTTGCTTTGTTACAGTGATGGCAGTGCTGCCTTCGAGCATGAATTGATCTGCTGCCTGGGGGCTACAGAGCAAGAACAAAAGTGAGGGAGAAGACCCTGTCGTTTTCGAATCTTTGAATCAGATCGGACGTCGTTGTCGATGGATCCACGGACACTGCCTGATAGCAGATAAGATTTCCTCATGCAGTCGAAGGTTCTGTCATGCTGCAAGAAGTCGAAGGTGGGACAGTTCCATCGAAGCACGGTTCTTATTCTCAGAACACGAACCACCTCCAAAAGGACAAGCATACAAGAGGGGAATATTAATGCAGTGGTGATCATCAATGGAGAAGGTGAAGCACATGCAGTTGCTTCATAAATCAAAAACCATTACTTGATTACTACGACAAAGGAAATGGTGTCGCGGGGCCACAGTGAATCTAAGAAGGAGATTGAAGAGCTCGAAGATTTCGGCAGATGAAAAGTGATGTTGGTATTGCATCTTGGGGAAACAGTCCACACAGAGAAAAGGTATTCTTACTTCATCAGCACTCTATAACTCATCTCGACCAAACTAGTGATCAGAACAACACCAGACAGATGCTAATTTTATGAGTACATTATCATTCTGTAGCATCATATCACCACCTAATCAACCAACAATAGTCCTATGTAGTAGACCTCCCAACCTTGACCTATGTTACATCGGTCTCCCGCCTCCCTCTCTCGCTCTCTCTCTATATATAACTTTCAACTCTGTTCTCAATCAGGAGATAAGAGAGAGAGAGAGAGAGAGAGAGAGAGAGAGAGAGAGAGAGAGAGAGAGGAAGATGGAATCTACTGTTCAGCACTCGATGATATGTTCCCTCGCTTGGCTTTTGGCCTTGAGCACTCTTTTGGCATTACCTGAGCTTTCATGTGGTAGCACGACAAGGCGCTACAAGTTTGATGTACGGCGTTTAATTAGCTTGTCAGGTAGATGCGATTAAGCTTGCAATGCTAGAATCGATGTGCTGATGGTTTCTCTTCGATTTCTTCCTGTAGATACGGCTGCAGAACGTGACGCGGCTCTGCCGCACGAGGAGCATCGTGACCGTCAACGGCAAGTTTCCCGGCCCTAAGATCATGGCAAGGGAGGGCGATCGCGTCGTCGTCAAGGTGGTTAACCATGTCACCAACAATGTCACCATTCACTGGTAATGGAGCTGTGCCACCATGTTTTCCTTGGTCATGTTCTGCACGTAGTAAGATGAGAGCTCGCCATTGTGTTCATGGAGAGCATGCAGGCATGGAGTTCGGCAGCTGCGGACTGGGTGGTACGACGGTCCGGCATACGTGACACAGTGCCCCATCCGGACTGGCCAAAGCTTCGTCTACAACTTCACCATCGTGGGCCAAAGAGGCACTCTCTTTTGGCATGCACACATCTCGTGGATGAGGGCCACGCTCTACGGGCCCATCGTCATCCTCCCCAAGCGAGGTGTTCCTTACCCTTTTCCTAAACCCTACAAGGAAATCCCTGTCATCTTTGGTAATCCATTACATGCACACATGAATGCATTCTTAGGTATTATACTCTGTTTCTCTGGTGATTGATTCATGAGATGTGTGGCAGGAGAGTGGTTTAATGTGGATCCTGAAGCCATCATTGCTCAAGCTCTTCGGACTGGTGCAGGTCCAAATATCTCTGATGCGTACACCATCAATGGCCTCCCTGGCCCCTTGTACAATTGCTCCAAGAAAGGTGAACAGAGATGTCCAGTTTGATTTCGTCTGAGGGGGTTTGAGTGATCGACTTTAGTTTGTGGATAGAGCAGATACGTTCGAGCTGAAGGTGAAGCCCGGGAAGACGTACCTCCTCCGCATGATCAACGCTGCACTCAACGACGAGCTCTTCTTCAGCATCGCCAACCACACGCTCACCGTCGTCGACGTCGATGCCGTCTACGTGAAGCCCTTCGAGGCCGACATCGTCCACATCGCGCCGGGGCAGACCACCAACGTCCTTCTCCACACCAAGCCTAGTCCTCCTGATGCCACGTTCCTCATGGCGGCGAGGCCTTACGCCACCGGGTCCGGCACCTTCGACAACACGACCACCGCCGGCCTCCTCGTGTACCTTCCGCCGAACGCTTCGTCTTCTTCCTCCCATGTTAAGAACCTTGCACTCTTCAGGCCGACCCTCCCGGCTTTAAACGACACGGCCTACACCACGAACTACACCGGCAAGCTTCGCAGCCTGGCGAGCGCGCAGTTCCCCGCGAACGTTCCGAAGACCGTCGAGAGGCGGTTCTACTTCACGGTGGGGCTGGGGACCAGTCCGTGCGCCAAGAATCAGACCTGCCAGGGGCCGAACGGCACCAAGTTCGCCGCTTCCGTCAATAACATCTCCTTCGCGCTCCCGACGTCGGCGGCGCTCCTCCAGGCGCACTACTTCGGGCAGACGAAGGGGGTCTACGACACCGACTTCCCGGACACCCCGCCGTTCCCGTTCAACTACACTGGGACTCCGCCCAACGACACCTTCGTGACCAACGCAACCAAGGTGGTGGTGCTTCCGTTCAACACCAGCGTGGAGCTGGTGATGCAGGACACCAGCATCCAAGGGGCCGAGAGCCACCCCCTGCACCTCCATGGCTTCAACTTCTTCGTGGTGGGCACCGGATTCGGGAACTACGACCCGTCGAAGGATCCCAGGCGATTCAATCTCGCCGATCCGATCGAGAGGAACACCGTCGGCGTGCCGGTCGGTGGTTGGGTCGCCATCCGCTTCCTCGCCGATAACCCCGGTAAGTGCATGGCCTTTCGTCTCGTACAATCCATATGGTTGCCGTGTATGGAGTTGGAGGTAACGTGCATGCCCGGCTGCAGGAGTCTGGTTCATGCACTGTCACCTGGAAGTGCACACGAGCTGGGGGTTGAGGATGGCGTGGGTGGTCAACGATGGGTGGCTCCCCAACCAGAAGCTAGTTCCTCCGCCGTCCGATCTCCCCAGATGTTGACCATCGACCACACCACCGACTCCCTGTTCTCTCTGCTTCGAGCTCTGTTCTTGGCGTGCTTTATTTGTCTGCAACAATCTACCTTTCGATGACCAAAGTGTTTGAGATGAGTTCAGCAGAATTGCACTCGTTTATTTGTTTTGTGCTTGAATTGGGCTTTCGATCAATAAAGTAAAGATGTGGTTTTAATCGATTTCCAATGACAGTATCTCCATCGATCGTGATATGTTATCAGAAACCATGTAAAAGGACTGCTGCAGATATCTGTATCATCGACAAAAGATTCACATTTTTCTTCAACTCATAAACCCAACTTTCCAAATAATAGTACAAGAATTTTTTTGGCAACCTTTTTTCGTTATTTACAATCGTATTTATAATTTTGATCGCAGTGGACACACCTAAGAGTTTGGGTGGGTATGATTGACAATAGAATGAAATAAGTTGTTCAAAGTAAAGTAAGGATGATCGAGGAGTTGCGAAAAATAAGAATCTGATTGATAATCGAGAAATTATATTTAATAAAATTATATTATTATTATTTTCTTAAATGATCATTTGAAGTAAGGGGTCGTCGTCAATAGTGTAAATGAGGTTATCAATAACAATTTTGTAATAATATCACTAATTAAGCAATCCAAATAGGCGAATGAAAAGTTACTGTTCTTATTTTATTAGGTATTTATCCAGGATTTTTGTTGCATCTTTCAGTCAGAATTTATCCCTTTGATCATAGATTGTAAGCACAAAGTGAAGATAGATGAGTAGATTTAAGCTACTATGAGGGCATGAATGCTTTGCAATGAATTCAATCAAAGCTCATAATTAACCATCACCATGACTAGCCCAATGTTGACTGAATTGTGCAGCAGTCCAATGGAATAATGAAAGCATCAAGAACAAGCATAAAATACACAATCTCTAACACAAGTGTATCAGAAAAGAATTCTGTGCTGGAAGTAGTGGGAAAGAATAAAGAGATCACCAGCGATGGGCCTCCCATGCTGCTTAAAGAAAGATGCACTGAATACTTTGACCAAGTTGCACACAACATAGAGACATAGGATGGGAATGAAGGACAACTCAAAGATGAACAGAACAAGTTGGCAGCTAATTGATCCAATACTTTTCTATCTTCGCTTGAATTGTTATTTCACTTGATTGGATTCTCATGGCCCTCATGTTGGCTGACCACAAGCTTTGACTCCCAACTTCTGAAAACTGTAACACCTAGAGATGCTGGAAGGAATATTGTAGGGCCCCACAAATACTCTCACTGCTAATGTTGTTTCTGCTGCTTGTCTCAACCCAACCTATATTGGTGATCCTCAGGGAGTTCTTGATGTGATTTCCATGGCAGCGACCTGAATTCTATCTGATATGATTTGTTTTACAGCACTCTGAACTTGAACTCCATGGTCAACTATTTCTTCCAAGATACTGGCAATAGTCTGTAATCTGCTGGATGTGTTTGGAAACTTGTCTCTCAACCTGTATAACTGCAGCAAAAGATACTCTAGAAAGTCAGTGAGTGCCTGACATAGCAAAACAATTCTCATGACACCAAGAAAATATTTAGTATAAAAATGATCATACTAAATTTAGAAGTGAATCAAAGCATATCTTAACAAGGAAAAGATGACAAGAAAACCTTTGATTTACTTCTCTTGGAACACAAGTTTCACACAGTTTTTCAGTATCAAATCTGAACCATTGAAACATATATTTAGCATTACAAATCTAGAATTCCACACGGTTCCATAGGAAATTCCAATTCCATGGCCAAGAACAGTAAGCCTTCATCACCATCGATTCATGCCAACTAATTAGCTGGAAGTAGGAACAGAAGATAAATCTTGAAAGAAACAGGACAATCCCTCAATCAATATGAGGAAGACAACCAAAAAGGCAACAGATTTTAGGAAGGCCGACCATCATCTCTCAGCCAATGTCTGCCAAATAATTAAGCCAAATGAACTAAAATAGTGCTTTAGAAAAGTCTATGCTTACACAAGCATAAAATATATTTCATAAAGTGTCATTTGCAGCTATTGCAGGTTAACCACCCAAGAAAAGAGAAAGCCTTGCAATAAATAATATATCCTTAGGCTTCTAGAACAAGGCCCTCTTTGAAAATTAACTTCAATTGGGGTGCACAAACCTCCTGTGGGTGTTGAGAAAAACAAGACTCTTGTAGAACAATGATGGAACAAAAATAACATTTAAGGATCCTTCAGACTAAGACACCCATATAATCTCCATCATCAGAACTTTCAAGCTGTGCAGGTGAGATTAGCTTGACAGAACCTATGACATAGTTTACAATTGTTAGTGCTGACATGATACAATCAGGACAGTATCTAAAAACATGCTTGGCTACAACAGGCCATTTATGTATTGCTGAAAGGGGAAGAGAAAGGGAAATAATATGTGCATGATCACAAATGACATATTCTTCAGTCACTGTGAAAAATATTTTAAATTGTACAATGGGCTAAAATTCTGTCATTGCAACAAAAGAGTCTGATGATGGATTTTAGAAAAAGATCTGAGCCAATATGAACTTCAAAATCTGGAGATTTTATCCAACAGCATAACCAAAAGCAAATTCCCATCAGTTTCGATGAGGCCAGAAAACCATCTCATGCTTTTTTTTCTTGAAAAACTAGAATTAACTGAAGACAGTGTAGGAGCCAAAGAAGAAATAGATGTTATAAAGGCCATAAATCTACTACTGATCCAATGAACATTCCAGTTGCTTATCACAAACTTGAGGATGAAATGAAAATATTCAAAGCTTTCTGTGAATGAAAGATATGCAACCTTTAGCTGAAATCATTCAAGATTTCTTGCAAAACATAAAGCAATATGATGTGAATTGAGGATTCATGAATGACATCAAATCGAAGGCAATAACTGTTATTAAACTGATACCAAGTCTGCATAATCTGACATTTGATACTATTTGTGGACATCCAAAAGGGCATCGATTTGGATCGAAAATTGATAAAGATTGAAAGAAGAAAACAAGCACTCATTTCAGTCATTTAGTTTGCTACAAAAAGATGAAAATTGTGAAGCCTTTTGTAAATAAATAAAGGCTGGAATAATCATTAGAAGCGTTGAGCTTTCAAAAATAATAAGAACATGTATCATCTATCACAAAGAACCAGTTGATTCTTTCCAACAAATCAATTCAAGTCTAAAGGCATACAGATCAGAAAATGCTACAATGTTTGGGAATCCCATCTATTTACAGCGATTTCATGTCCTGAGATCACTCATTGCAAACTTATACTTATGTATACCGCCAGCAAGCAATCACATTGGTGTTGCCATTCAAATTGGTGCCCCGACTTCTGAATGCCTCCTGGAAGCTGAAGCTCTTTCATGCCGTGAAGAGGTTGATCTCGACAGCCCAAAGAATGAGAAGAAGTTGCGAATAGCCCGTCGAATTCTTCCACTCTCCCTAGACCTACTCCCTCTTGAGTCCCACGAGATCCTTCTTGGTGCTCCGTTGTCGTTGAATCCACCATCCATTTCGGTGTAGACAACCGGAAACTCTTGTTCCTCAGCTCTCCTGCTCCCTGAGAACCTTCCCACGGCAAACCCTCCCCCTGGAAGCCTCCATATCGTCAGTCCCACCATCTCCTCCTCGTCCCCTGCAGCAGGGGCCGCCTGCTCACCGCCTTCCGCAGCCGTTGCACCCTGGCCTTGCACATCCGTGGGCATTTCGTGCCGGCAGACAGGGCATGAGTTGTGGAGCGAAAGCCACGGCAAAATGCAATCTTGATGGTAGATGTGCTTGCAGGGCATCTCCCGGGCCTCGGTTCCGAGCTCGAAGGCATCCGTGCAAACGGCGCAACGGCAGTCTTTCTCGATATGGCCATCCATGATCTCTATGGTGGGCATCGACTCGATGGCAACCTTCGAGGCCGGTGGATGCTCGCGTCCTCTGCCGTGAGCTATGCCGTTGATCTCGATGTGGGCGAACTGCTCGAGGAGGCTGTCGAAGCCCGAACTCAACAGGAAATCGGAGATGCTTTCCGGCAAGGGGCGGAGGCCGGATGCGGTACCGTCATCATAGTAGAGCTCGAAGCTGGTGGTGGTGGAGTGATCCTCATCACGGCCACCATCAGACGGGCCGCGAAGAACGACGACGGGATTGAAGGGGGATCGGCGGGAGGAAGCGCGGCGGTTGGGGCGGAAGCTGGGCTCTGAGGGCTGGCGAGGGCGGGCCGCTGCAGTTGAGTAGAGCCGGCTGCGGCGGGACTCGGAAGCAACGCTGGAAGGGGAGTCGCCGACCTCCTCGAGGAAGCCGCCGTCGCAGTCGGGGCAGACGACAGCGTGCTGCGGCCAGACCCGGACGAGGCGGCTACACCGGTAGCACCAGTACGACGACGCCGTCGACATGGAAGAAGGCATCAGAGCGACGAAGAATAACAACAACAACGACCCAAACTTTCTCTCAAAAACGAACGAATCTGGACAAGAAAACCCCGAAAAACTCGATCTTTCGAACGACTCCCAGAAAGCAATGAATCAAACGATTCGAACCCGAGCTCCAACTCCGAGAACACGGAACTTTCTCCCAAGAAAAGGTCAAACACTACCAAATTCCTTTATCGATTCGTGATCAGATCCTTCGAGGGCTTAGGCAAAGGCCAGAACCTGGGAGGAGATGGCAGCGGAGGAGAGAATGGGTGGGAGGATCTGGGGAGGCAGAGAGGGGGGTTTTATCATGCGCTCGACGAAGCATCTCACCAACAGCGGAACCGCGTCGGCTATGTGGCATGCGTTGGGGCGCTTTTCGCCGTAACGGGCGTTACTGATACATCCACGCGGTAATCATACATTGGGAGAGACATTGACGCCGTCAGGATGAGCGACGTGGAGTTGACGGCCTCAGTCAAAGGAGAAGCACAGGGACCCGAGACGCCTCATATTACATGCAGCAGCTGTCTGTCGCTAAGTGGGTCCGACGCTGTCTCTGTGCCGAACTCCAATCGGCAGGCAGGTCAGAAACTGGGCAATGTATAACGCGTGGAAAAATAAAACCTTCATCTTGATGAACAAGGTGACGCGTTGAAAAGTTGGGTCCTTCTCCGCCTCCCTCGAGTCTTCCCCCCGACTGTTTCACGAGGCTAAAT